AGTAATTAAATAAATATTTGCCTGGAGTTTTCGCTCTCGCCCGCGTAAGGAATATAATATAAAAGATTAGAGAGAAAAAAGAAACGCTAAGGTGATTTGCGAGAAAGCGAGGTGAAGTTTGGCTCTTACTTTAATCCTGAGTTTTTTTGGAGAAGAAAAAGAAACGAGAGCTCTCTCGATTGGTGGGGATTTTTTGCTTTTTGCTAAACACGAGGTAGTTCAAGTTTATCTAAAAAAGTGTTGAGAATAGAGGTGAACCTTAAATTTTTTCACTTTTTTAACTGAGGAAAATTATAAGGAAAGTTTTTTTAGTAAAAAAAAGTTGTATAATAGATAATAAAATAATAAAAATTGAGTTATGTTTAACCTAAGTCAATATTTTTTCCCAAAAGAAAATAAAGTTCCCATAGTGGAAATAAGAGAAATAGAAAGGTGCGAACATTATCATACTAACTGAACGACCCATTTCTGGAAAGTTCTTCAAACTTCCAGAATAATTAATAAATCCTTGTTAAAATCACTTAATCCGGAAACTTATACTTTTTATTGCGGTAGAAGCGACTGTAATTGTCGAGAGAATGAGAAATTTGTCGATTTATTTTCTGTCTGCCCGGCAATTAAGTGTGAAGACAAGAACAGCCGAGATAGAACACCTACTTATTGGATTCATTCTAAAGATGGGTGCCAAGTGGAAGTGTCTAATCAAGCTCGTATCAGATGCAGCAAAAGACATTGCGAAACTGATCACATAAAAAATTGACATTTTAAGTGTTCTGCTCATAAAGGAGAAAAGCAATACAAGGAAACAGATGATGATTCCTTCTTAAAGGCGTTAGCTTGGTCACTTATTGCGAGAGAAGACAACAAGGATAATAATAATATCAAGCCAGTGCTCATAGAGTTAAATACGTGAATAGTTAACAATCGTGAGGAGTGATATGATGATTGCAAATAAAAAAGGTTAGAATTATGATAGGGCAAAAACAAATGCAAATGCAAGTACAAATGACTGCTTATAGTTGAGAAGTGTCGCACGATACTTTTGTTATGATGATAGAAACTCTAGAAAAGTATATTGAAGTGTCTGGCTATTATTCTGATTGGTCGTCACGGAAAACAATTTTGGATAATCGAGTACGAAGGCAAGATCCTAATTCTGAAGAAGCCGAAAGCACACTTACAACTATGTTGCTTATATTCGGAACTATTTTGAAGACCAAACCTCCTCTTTATCATGACAAATTAAAACAAGAATTTTACCAGTGAATTGACAAAACGAAAATTGATGTTAATAATTGTTCCTTGCGATTAAAATATGTATTGTTTGGGATTAACGAAACACTGGAAGGAAATAGGAGAAAGATTTTGAAAGATGGAGAAAATTGCAAGAAGCTCGACGTTAATTCACCCGAATACGCTGAGGCATTATGTGACGCTTTTGCTGGTATGCAAGTTGCATTGCAAAACGAAAGAGAGCTTGCACAGACCCTTGCCAGTAAGACTTATCAAGATATAGAAACTGAAAATAGGTTTAGTAGTGGTAATGCGGAACAAGGTGAAAAGGTTTTTGAACGGATTAAAGGGTCAATTTCTCTTCGTGATTATCAAGAAAAATTTTATTTCTTTCCTCAGCAACAAGAGCAACAAAAAGAAGAGTTTGAACTTTGTTCTAATCAAGCGGAAAGTTCAGGTTGAGTACAAGGGGAAGTTGCTAGTGAAACACAACAAAATAATGTGCAACAAACAAATTATGACGGATTGTTTATAAGTAAGAGAAAATCTCTGCTAGATGAGTACCATTTAGCTCGAAAAAAGCTTAAAGGTGAGAAGCCGCGGAGAGGAGAGGAAACTAGAAAGGATGTAAAGAACCTAATGATCCAAATAGAAAAGGAAGTAGGCATTGTTGAAACCAGAAATTGGGAAGAAAAGCAAGATACTATAGAGAAAATTATTCATAGAGAAAGAGGTAATTGAATTATCAAAGGAATTTTTTCTTCTAAAGTGCAAGGAATTACCCCTGGAGACATGTTTTTAATTCATCGCTCTGCATATGAAGAGAGTACCGATGAAATATTTTTTGAACCCGGTAAGGTTTACAGAAAAGATTGTTTTGCTGAAGAGGAGTGAATAAAAATTGAAGATGCCATAAATTCCTACGAGTTGGAACAGAGACTTGCTCAAATCCAAATTCCTCCCAAGAAAAGCTAATCATAATAATCATCCTTATTTTCCTTCTTCCCGCCCTTTTCCTCTTCCGCAAAAAAATCAAGTCTTTTTTCCAAAAAAGAACCAAAAAATCCCGAAAAGTAAACAAAAAAACTCCCTAAATGCCGGTACTAATACACTAACCCCGTCTCGTCTCGCTTCTCAAATTACTTAAACTCAACAAAAGAGTAGAGAAGCATCCTGGGTCAAGTTCGCTCTAAAAATCAAAAAAATCGTCTCGGGGA